CAGGGGAGAGTCCGGGTGGAGGGGGTGGGGTGGGGGGGCGGTGTCTGTGAGAGGAGGGAAGGGGTGAAGTGCCCCAGGGCGGGGGTGGGGGGGGCGAGGACACCCATTCGAGGGTGGTTTGTGGAGGAGAAGGAGATGTTCAGCTCCAGAGAGACACCGGTGAGGGAAAGAATGGATGGATCTCTGGGCAAGTCCTGGGGAAGGGAGGGGGTGGGAATCGTTCAAGAGTTCACTGTAAAGATGAGACCAAGGTAGGAAGGAGGATTTGGAGTTCAAGGTCAGCCTGCGCTTACAGAGACCCTGTCAAAAAGAAAGAAAAAGGAGAGGGGGGGGGGAAACAAAAAAGTTACCAGTATTGATGATTCATAAGGGTTTGAAGGACTGTTTCATACAGGGAAATCGTGAGTGGGAGGATATTAGCTGGCTTCACTGGACAAGTTGACCAATGATGGGGGCTGGGGTGGGGTGGGAGGAGGGACCTGCAGTCAGTGTGGGGAGTGGTTAGGGAGTCAACCATGAGTCTTCTTAGCATGCTGGGGAATGTAGGAGGCTTGAGACTTGAGAACCAGGCATCGGTGTGGTTGTCAGAATGATCCGTGTCAGAATAAGCAATGTGCATGAAGTATTAAAAAAAAAAAATTAGCCTGGTTCCTGTGGCTCAGGCCTGTAATCCTAGCTACTCAGGAGGCTGAGATCTGAGGATGGAGGTTCAAAGCCAGCCCTGGGCAGGAAAGTCCGTGAGATTCTTATCTCCAACAAACCACTAGAAAACCGGAAGTGGTGCTGTAGCTCAAGTGGTAGAGCACTGGCCTTGAGCTGAAGAGCTGAGGGACAGAGCTCAGGCCCAGAGTTCAAACCCCATGACCTACCCCCCCCCAAAAAAAAATTACATTAAGAATCAAGTGAGGGGATCCACTTTTGGAAGTAGGAAGATATTGGTGGTCTGAAGAGTCCCTCTACCCAGTGAAAGTAAGTATTCCTTTACCACTGATGAACCCTCCATCAAGGCCCTAAGTTCTAAGGGTTAAAAACAGTTCCATGGTTTAGCCTCCTCTCTACTTTTCTCTAGATTTAACATAGATGTTCCCAAATTGCCTTCCTGGATGCCTCTCCCTCCCCGCTTGCCTTCCTTACCTATTTACTCTCTTCCTTTTTTCTTGCTTTCTTTCATCCCTTCCTCCTTCCTTCTTTTCATACTGATTTTGGCCATAGTAAGATTGCCCTTTAGCCTAATGCAGAGTTCAAAATTGTCTTACATAATGAAGTTTGGGGAAGAGATGAAGGGGAAGGAGCTAGAAAACAGGAAAGTGGTTTCAGGAACACCACATTAAACCCTAGCTTCTTGCAGAGGTACGTCTAAATAAATCCTGGCTTGTTTCATGGCTATTTCTGTCAGGTTTCTATTTTTTGCTTTGTTAACTATGAATTTGGACCTTCACCTCTCTTCAGTACCTACTTGTGAATGCTGCTTCTTCCCATTCTATTACTTACCACTGTGAAAGAGATTCAAAAACATGACTGTATGCTCAGTGAAAAAAACAAGGAAGACTTAGCAGAAGAAAGGACAAAGGATTAGGAATCTTAAACAAGAAAGAAAGCCCCTACTTCAGAGAAAGGGTAAAGAGTATGACAAAATTCTAATTCCTTAAAGTGTACAGGAACCTTGGGAATGCCACAAGTCATAGAAATTGGGTCAGGTTACTAAAGAAGAGTTCAAAGGAACACCAATGAATTAGGAGGGGTAGTGCATTTATGAGACTACCACACAACTGGAAATGTTAAGAATAAAGATATTGTGTTGCTAGTCACCGGTGGCTTACACCTGTAACCTTAGCTACTCAAGGAGGCTGGGATGTAAAGGATTATGGTTTGAAGCCCACCATGGCAGAAAAGTCAGAGTGATTCTACTTCCAAAATAACCAGCCAGACTTGGACGTGTGGCTCAGGTGGTAGAACACCAACCATGAGTAAGCACCCCAGTGAATGTGAAGCCATAAATTCAAACTAGCTTGTGCATACACACAGACATCAAAAAAGAAAAAGAATGAACCTCATGGTAGTTAAACAGCAGGTAAGCAGATAATGAAGACTGGAAAGGTTGAGCTCTACACAACATTGTAATTTTCAAATTAAAGCTGCAACCACAGTTGTAATGAATGACATAAAAATAGAGAAGGTAATTATGGAAAACTAAAAAGTCGATACCAAAAAATTAATCTACTCATGCAGGGATGTTTGTGGCTTTCATTAGAGTTGTCCGTCAGTGTCTGAGAACTTACAGAGACCGTGGAAAATTTCTGATGTGTGACTCAATTTTATTTTTGGAAAATAATGACATGATCATATTCCTACAGTTCACTACTAACAAATGTTACCCTTTGGTGTATTCACTTTAGCTCTTTTCAACATTGAAATAGATGGTATAGGCAAGATTATAAAGTATCATTTGAATCTTCAGTTCCATTCTTCTTTCTCGTCAGAGCTAAGCACTATCAGTGTCTTACTTTCAGTCCAATTTCAATACTTCTGCTAATTATATATACAATCATAAAAATATTGCTTACTCATAAAAACAGAATTATCCCTGCAGCTTGCACTTGGAAACTGTCCATTCATTACATGTAACTTTTTTTTTTTATTTTAGGAGTCTGATCATAAAGCTTACACTTACCTGGGATTTACAATCTTTATACCTCAGCCTCCCAAGTGCTGGGATTACAGGCATATCCCACCACTTCCAACTACATATAACTCTATATTTTTGGAGGGTGGAGTGGGGTGGTCGTGGGGCTTGAACTCTGGGTCTGGGCATTGTCCCTGAGCTCTTTAGCTCAAGGCTAGCCACAGCACCACTTCTGGTTTTCTGGTGGTTCATTGGTTAAAGTCTCACTGACATTCCTGCCCAGGCTGGCTTTGAACCTCAATCGATCATCAGATCTCAGCCTCCTAAATAGCTTAGGATTACAGGCTTGAGACACCAGTGCCCAGCAAACTCTATTCTTCTGTTTTTGTAAACTGCTGTTAGTGTGATGTTTCTTGAGTTAATGTTTATAGGAATAAAGATGGAGTTTAAGAGCAAAGCCAGCTGAGTTATCTTGCTCTTGAGTCCTTAAGTTTAGCCCTGCTATGGGGAGGTAGAGTGGGCTAAGAACTTGGTGAAAAGAATCCAAAGTTTAATATGTTGCTCTAATCTTCTCTTCTGGTAGAAATCAACTATAGCCTTCCTTGAAGAACTGCCTTTCCCATTCACTGGCTGGAGTTACATTGTTTCCTGCTGGCAGAACCAGGGACATGCCAGCACTGTAAGGCTTCATCTCTTGATCCTCTTACCAATTTCGTGGTTGGGTGGGGTAAGGAGGGAAGGAAAAAGGAGTCTTGCCTTTTTTTTTTTTAATGGCTCTTGAGCTATTCAAATCATAGCCCATACATAGCCTCCTTTCTTAATGATCCTTCTTTACTTCCTGTTCTCCTTTGTAGTTCTTTCTTTTCCAGTTCTCTAGACTCCATCCTCACCCACTGCCAAGGGGCTTGGATCTGAGCTGATGGGATACCTTCCTCTGCAGAGCGGGATGAGTGGGTATTCCAGCGGGGATGTGGTCATTGACGGCCAGTGAGGACGAAAGCACCACGGCCCACTTTTTCCTTGGAGCTGGAGATGAGGGGCTGGGAACCCATGGAATAGGCATGAGGACAGAAGAGAGTGACAGCGAGCTCCTTGAGGATGAGGAGGACGAAGTGGTAAGACTAGGGGGGAAGGAGGTGACTTGGCATTGGGACTCCGGTCGTAGAGAGTTGGGATTTCACTGAACGGAGATAACCTCTCTGTTCTTCCCAGATGCATAAAGCAGGCGCTATCCTGATTAGAAAAGAGGCACTAGAAACCGATAGATTGCCCCTCTTTGAAACCCCTGTTCCTCAGTGTGCCTATAGCTCACACCTGTAATCCTAGCCCCTCTGGAGGCTGCCATCTGAAGATTGAGATTCGAAGCTAGCTGAACCAGAATAGTTCATTAGATGCTTACCTTCAGTTAACCAGAAAAAATGCCAGATATAGAAGCATGCCTCAGGTGGTAGAGCGCCAACCCTGAATGAAATAAACCAAGTAGTATGAGGTCCTGAGTTCAATCCCTGGTACCAGCAGAAAATAAAAGAGAAAGACACTCCTGCTCTGTTACCGTCCTTCTGTTATGATCATTGGTTCTCTGGTTCTGCTTTAGCACACATTTCCCACCATGGGAACACTTCTGTCCTTTATAGAAATCCATAAACTGTGCTCCAACCTAGACCAAAGTTAGGAGGTACCCTTTACCTCAAAGGGCCAAAGAACCTGTGCCCTTAAAGAGAGGAGACTGTTCTCTGGTGAGGCTGATAAAGGTGGGGAAGTTCTCAAGTTCTGATAGTATTTTTCTGTATGTAGCCTCCAGAACCTCAGATCATTGTTGGCATCTGTGCCATGACCAAGAAGTCCAAGTCCAAACCAATGACCCAAATCCTAGAGCGACTCTGCCGATTTGACTACCTGACTGTCATCATCCTGGGAGAAGATGTCATCCTCAATGAACCTGTGGAAAACTGGCCGTCCTGCCACTGCCTCATCTCTTTCCACTCCAAAGGTTAGGGTCTGAAAAGGAAAGTGGGGAGAAGGGTAGTTGAAAATGCTGGATTCAGAATCAGGGTCTTATTAGAAAGGAGGCCGAAGTGGCAGAGTACTAGCCTTGAGCAAAAGAAGCTCAGGAACAGTGCCCAGGCCCTGAGTTCAAGCCCCAGGACTGGCAATGAAAAAAGAAAAAAAAAAAAAAAAGGAAAGAAGAAAGGAAGGAAGGAAAGGAGGGAGGGAGGGCGGGCAGGCCATCAGCTCTTCCAGCACACTAGAGAATACTACAAAGGAAGTTTGTTTTCCCCAGATTGAATATTTTAAGGACCATATTCTATCTTCAAGGTAACTCTAAAGATTTTTGACAGCATTTGGTTCCTGGAGGACCCTCAATATAATGAATGTTTTTCCACACCTCCCTGCCTCCTTCTCCCCCTCCCCCATGAATATCTTAGACTTGGGAATGGGCGGAGGATTAATGATGGATTGGATTGGGTAGAGCTCAGTGGCAGCTACCAGTTTTAATGTGTCTCTCTTGTTTTCTCACCCTGTCTCTTTGACATTCTGTTTCATTTCTTCATCCCAGGTTTTCCTCTGGACAAAGCTGTGGCTTACTCTAAGCTTCGAAATCCCTTTCTTATCAATGATCTGGCCATGCAATATTACATCCAAGATAGGTATAGCTTCCTGTGGGCCAGGGGTGGGTGACTCTGAGATTATGCCCATTTAGGGAATACATTCTGGGCAGGGTTGGGTTAAACAAACACGCTTAATTTTTGTACCCTGTTGAGTTCTGAGGCCCGGAGCCTGCTAATCCCTGTATGAATTAAATCCTTAGCTTCTCTCCCTAGTTCTTCCACCCCCTCCCAGTTTATTTATTTGTGTGGGACAGGAGGGAGGTATACCGGATCCTGAAAGAGGAGGGTATTGATCTGCCTCGCTATGCTGTACTCAACCGTGACCCTGCCCGACCCGAGGGTGAGTACCTGACCTTGCCTAGTCCTTCCCTGTTTTGCTTTCCAATGACTGAACTCTGTGACCACCCTCTAGACATCTCCGACATGCCACCTAACTGTGGGGCTCTGAGTATTGGATTATGGATAGGGTGAGAGCCACAATCTTTAGACAGAACCTTTGACCTGTTATATAGCTATTATTATCTCTATATGCCATATGCAAATATTACTGCATCTTTTATTTAGATAGAGATGGTCATAAAAATTTGAGGATTATAGGGATGGGGAAGTGAGAGTTGGAAGTCTGTTACAACCTTAACCCCTCTCAGAGTGCAACCTGATAGAAGGTGAAGACCAAGTAGAGGTCAATGGAGCTGTGTTTCCTAAGCCCTTTGTGGAGAAGCCTGTGAGTGCCGAGGACCACAACGTTTACATCTACTACCCCAGCTCAGCTGGAGGAGGAAGCCAGCGTCTCTTCCGTAAGGTGTGGGAGACAGTTTGTGCATCTGGGGAGTTAGAATGGTAGAAGGGAAAGAATGATATATATTTTTTTGTTTTTGCTTTTGTTTTTTGTTGTTGTTGGTCGTGGGGCTTGAATTCTGGGTCTGGGTGCTGTCCCTCAGCTCTTAAGCTCAAGGCTAGTGCTCTACCACTTGAGCCACACTGCCACTTTCTGGTGGTTTATTGGAGATAAGAGTCTCAGGGTCTTTCCTGCCCGGGCTGGCTCTGAACTGTGATCCTCAGATCTCAGCCTCCTGAATAGCTAGGATTACAGGTGTGAGCCACCAGCGCCCGGCGAAAGAATGATATTGTTGGGAGAGGAGCTGGGAGATTTAGGAACAAATCTTGGGGTTGAGGCAATTGTTTTCCTTTTTTTTTCATTTTCTTTCTTTCTTTTCTTCCTGAAGATTGGCAGCCGGAGCAGTGTTTACTCTCCTGAGAGCAGTGTCCGAAAGACAGGGTCATACATCTATGAGGAGTTTATGCCGACAGATGGAACAGATGTCAAGGTTATGGTGGATACAGGGATTTAAGACATCGTTAATGTCTGGGTGGGAATGGGGTGCTTGGGAAGCCGGTGGAAGTGTATGGGGAGGGGAATGAGTCCTAGACAATAAAGTATACCTACAATTGGCTTTTTGTGTGCATGGATGCCAATGCTGGTACTTGAATTCAGAGCCTGGGTGCAGCCCCTTAACTTTTTTGCTCATGGCTTAGCATTCTACCACCTGAGCCACAGCTCCAATTTTGGCTTTTTTTTTTTTTTTGGTGGGGGGTCAGTGTTGGGGCTTGAACTCAGGGCCTGGCTGTTGTCCCTGAAATTCCATGCTCAAAGCTAGCACTCTACCACTTGAACCAGCACCACTTTGAGTTTTCTTTTTGAGTGGTTAGTTGAGGAATCTCAAAGGGACTTTCCTGCCCAGGCTGGCTTTGAACTGCAATTCTCAGATCTCAGCCTCCTGTATAGCTAGGATTATAGGCGTGAGCCACTGGTGCCCAGTTCACTTTTGGCTTTTTGAAGGTTAACTGGAGATAAGTGTCTCACAGGCTTTCCTGCCTCAGTTGTTTCAAATTGATCCTCAGATTTAAGCCTCCTGATTAGCTAGGATTTCAGACCAGCACCCAGTTTACAATTGGCTTTCATAGGAAGATAACAAATGAAACCTTAAGACTCATTTTCACCATTAGAGCAAGGACAAAGTAAATGGGGAATGAATGATAGAATATTGACAAACCTTTTTTTTTTTGGTGCTATTCTTGGGGCTTGAACTCAATGCTTGGGCACTGTTCCTGAGACTTTATACTCAAGGCTAGCATTCTACCCCTTGAGTCACAGTTTCACTTCCAGCTTTTTTTTTTGGGTCCGGTCATGGGGCCTGAACTCTGGGCCTGAGCACTGTCCCTCAGCTCTTCAGCTCAAGGCTAGCACTCTACTACTTGAGCCACAGTGCCACTTCCGGCTTTTTTCTTTTTGCTTATGTGGTGCTGAGGAATCGAACCCAGGGCCTCAGGCATGCAAGGCAAGCACTCTACCACTGAGCCACCTTCCCAGCCCCTCACTTCCAGCTTTTTGTAGTTAATTGAACATAAAAGTCGCTTAGACTTTCCTGCCTGAGCTAGCTTTGAACCTCAATCCTTAGACCTCAGCCTCTTGAATAGGATTACCGAAGTAAGCCACTGGCATCTGGCAGCAAACTCTTTTATAATGAAGACTAGTAGCTCCAGAGTCCCAGAGTAAAGCCTTCATAATGACACCGCAGTAGGGCTCAGGAACAAAAATGTCATGCTCCTTACTCTTAATACTCAAAGTTTGTTGGTTTGGATTGGTTTGGGTTTTACTCTGAATCTAGTCTACAGACATAGTGCTCATATTGTCTTCTCATATACAGGGTGAGCTGTGGGCATACTCAGTGATGCTATGTACCTGCAGGTATATACAGTGGGGCCAGATTATGCCCATGCTGAAGCTAGAAAATCTCCAGCTTTGGATGGGAAGGTTGAACGAGACAGTGAAGGAAAAGAGGTTCGCTATCCAGTCATGCTGACTGCCATGGAAAAGCTGGTGGCAAGGAAGGTCTGCGTAGCTTTTAAGGTAGGTGAGGGTGCCGGGGTACCATGGAATGAGCGCGAGAGAATGGAGCCAAGAATGATGCTATTTCCATATTTTCTTTCCTCCCCTACAGCAAACAGTTTGTGGATTTGACCTTCTTCGGGCCAATGGTCACTCCTTTGTGTGTGATGTCAATGGCTTCAGTTTTGTCAAGAACTCTATGAAATACTATGATGACTGTGCCAAGATTCTGGGGTAAGAAACAGAGGGTCTGGACAGGGGAGGGAGGGAGGGCTGAGAGAAAAGGGTTAGAAAGCTTTCTTTCTTTTCTTTTTTTTTTTTGCTGGTTCTGGGGCTTGAACTCAGGCCTGGGTGCTGTCCTTGGGCCTCTTTGTGCTCAAGGTTAGTAGTACTCAACCACTTGAGCAACAATGCCACTTCTAGTTTTTCTGAGTAGTTTATTGGAAATAAGAGTTTCACAGGGACTTTTCTGCCCAGACTGCCTTTGAACCCTAATCTTCAGATCTCAGCCTCCTGAGTAGCTGGCATTACAGGTGTGAGTCACCAGCGCCCGGCTGTTTTCTCTTTATTTTAAATATTGGAAAAATGATTTAAAAAGGAAAAAGGGAAAGAGTCTCCTTAGACCTTTTGTCTTTCCAACACTGCGTTCCTCAGAGATGAGGATAGTTTTAAACATAACATATTGTCCTTTTCTGCCATGTATAAATAAACTGTATTTATTTTTACTAAATGTGATCATACTATGATTTTGTTCCAAAGTTGACTTTAAAAACTCATCATGTAGCTGGGCACCGGTGGCTCACACCTGTAATCCTAGCTACTCAGGAGGCTGACATCTGAGGATCACGGTTCAAAGCCAGCCCGGGCAGGAAAAACTGTGAGACTCTTACTTCCAATAAACCACTCAAAAAACCAGAAGTCGTTCTGTGGCTCAGTTGGTAGAGCACTAGCTGAAGAGCTGAGGGATAGCACCCAGGCCCAGATTTCAAGCCCCATGACTGACAAAAAAAATAATAAATTATATATATATATATATATGTATATGTATGTATGTATATGTATGTGTATGTATGTATATGTATGTGTACGTATGTATGGAAGTGGTTCCGTGGCTGAAGAGCTCAGGTACAGTGCTTGGGCCTAGAGTTCAAGCCCCATAACAAACAAAAATAAATGAATAAATAAAGTAAATGGAAATCAAATAAATACTCTATTTAGATTATAGGTCTGGGCACCAAGTCCCTGAATTCAAACACTAGTGCCACAAAAAAAAAGAGAATATAGTAGAAAACTCTGGTTATATGCATTCTCTCTTCTCCACCCAGAAAGAACTATAACCCTTAATTTGGTATTTATCACACCCATGCATTTACTTATGTATCTACCATATATGAATGGGTATGTGGTTACATGTTTTTGAACTTCATATTAATGTTTTCAGCATGTTTTGTTGTTGTTGTGTTTTTGGTGGTGGTACTGGAGTTTGAATTCAGGGCCTCATGCTTGTCAGAGCCCGTACCTCTAACAGTGGAGATGGAGTTGAATAAACTTTTCTGCCTGGGTTGGACTCAAACTGTGGAGCCTCAAAATGTTAGCTTCCCACATAGTTAAAAGATTACAGGTGTGTGCCCCATTACATAGTGTGAGCTTGACTCACATGTGTAGTTCTGGTTTATTTATTTTCATATAAATCTTCAGCCGGGCGCTGGTGGCTCACGCCTGTAATCCTAGCTACTCAGGAGGCTGAGATCTGAGGATCGCGGTTCAAAGCCAGCCCGGGCAGGAGAGACCGTGAGACTCCTATCTCCAATAAACCACCAGAAAACCGGAAGTGGCGCTGTAGCTCAAGTGGTAGAGCGCTCGCCTTGAGCTGAAGAGCTGAAGGACAGCGCCCAGGCCCAGAGTTCAAGCCCCACGACCGACAAAAAAATAAATAAATAAAAAATAAATCTTCATGATTCTTCTAGAAATACCATTATGCGGGAACTTGCCCCACAGTTCCAGATCCCGTGGTCCATCCCCACAGAGGCTGAGGACATTCCCATTGTTCCTACCACATCAGGCACTATGTAAGCAAAAGCAAAATCCCTGGAGTGATCTGTGTAAGATGCAGGGTTTCTATTTCTTTTTTATTTTATTTATTTTTTTTTATTTCTTTTTTATTTTTTTTGCCAGTTGTGGGGTCTGAACTCCGGGCCTGGGTGCTGTCCCTGAGCTCTTCAGCTCAAGGCTAGCACTCTACCACTTGAGCCACAGTGCCACTTCCAGCTTTTTCTGCTTATGTGGTGCTGAGGAATTGAACTCAGGGCCTCATGCATGCGAGGCAAGCGCTCTACCACTGAGCCACCTTCCCAGCCCAGATGCGGGGTTTCTTAAGTCAGACCAGTGGTTGCTTCCTGACTCTCTGCTATCTAACTAGTAAAACCTGGGCCTCTCCTAGATGGTCCCCTTAAATGCAACTTCAGTTCCTAATCTCAGATCGCTGTTCTTTGACATGTCAAGTAGGAGGTGGTGATGGGTCATGGATAAGGTTTGGGGTAGAAGAAAGGCTCTGAAAAGATTCCTGATCTTAGGATGGAACTTCGTTGTGTCATTGCAATTATCCGTCATGGGGATCGTACCCCCAAACAGAAGATGAAGATGGAGGTGACACACCCAAGGTAGGAAGAATATCCTAATTTAGACGAATAAGGATTTTTTTCCACTTTGTTGTTGTTGTTGTTGGTTGTGGGGCTTGAACTTGAGGAAGAGTGCATGGAAAACAGCTTTCAGAAGCGCTGACTATCTCATTCCTTACTTCTTCAGGTTTTTTACTCTGTTTGAGAAACATGGTGGATATAAAACAGGGAAATTAAAACTCAAGCGACCTGAGCAACTCCAGGTAAGGTGGTGAATTGGGTCAGGTGTACTAGGGCTAGAAAAGAGAGGAGTGGGATCTGAGAGAGGGGAGGGGCAGGTGGAAGGATAGCTAGCCAGGACCTCATCTCCTGCATACATATCCTTTTATAACCTGTAGGAAGTGCTGGACATTACAAGGCTGCTGCTTGCTGAACTGGAGAAAGAACCAAGTGGTGAGATCGAGGAAAAGACTGGGAAGTTAGAGCAGCTGAAGTCCGTGTTGGAAATGTGAGAAAAGGGGTCAGCAAAAGGGATTCATTAGTGAGAATGGGGTTCTGGGACAGGAAGTAAACTGCGGCTTTGTCCTACAGGTATGGTCACTTCTCAGGTATCAACAGGAAGGTGCAGTTGACTTATTACCCTCATGGAGTAAAAGCTTCTAATGACAGGCAAGGTAAGAGCTTGTCTCTGATTCTTGAATCTATGGGTGGCCCTTATCTCAAAAGTTACTTTTTTTTTTTTTTTGCCAGTCCTGGGGCTTGAACTCAGGGCCTAGGCACTGTCCCTGAACATCTCTGTACTCAAGGCTAGTGCTCTACCACTTGAGCCACAGCGCCACTTCCAGCTTTTTCTGTTTATGTGTGGTACTGAGGAATCGAACCCAGGGCTTCATGCATGCAAGGCAAGCACTCTACCACTAAGCCACTTTCTCATCTTTTTTTATTTTTTTTTATTTTTATTTGTATTAGTCGTGGGGCTTGAACTCAAGGCTTGGGCTCTGTGCCTGAGCTCTTTTGCTCAAGGCTAGCACTCTATCACCTGAGCCACACCTCCACTCTGGTTTTCAGTGGTTCATTGAAAATAAAAGTTTCACAGACTTTCCTACCTGGATTGGCTTCAAACTGCAGTCCTCAGATCTCAGCTTCCCGAGTAGCTAGGATTATAGGCATGAGCCACCAGTGCCTGGCAGAAAACCTAATGTTGTGATATTTTCATCATATTGCTTAGATCTGAGCCTGCCTACTGCCCCTTCTTTCCTCAGATGTCCAGCAGGAGACTCTGTCACCATCTCTATTGCTGGTTCTGAAGTGGGGTGGAGAACTGACACCCGCTGGCCGTGTTCAGGCTGAGGAGCTGGGGCGAGCTTTTCGCTGCATGTACCCTGGAGGCCAGGGTGAGTGTTCAGTGGTGGTGGTGGTGGTATGAATACCTAGAAGGGCTAAGATAAGATTCATGAGAGAATAATAATAATATAATAATATCAAATAATAATAAAAATAATAATGAGAGAATAATAAAAAAAGAGACAGAGGGGAAAATTAATATTCTTTGATGTGGATTCAGTCCTGATCCTCTCCTCTGCCCCCGCCCCCAGGTGACTATGCTGGATTTCCTGGTTGTGGGCTACTTCGTCTCCATAGCACTTTCCGCCATGACCTCAAGATCTATGCCTCTGATGAAGGCCGTGTCCAGATGACTGCAGCTGCCTTTGCCAAGGTACACCCTACCGTTCTTCTTACAGCAGTCCCACCTGCCATTAGGTAGAAAAACAGAGTTTGGAGCGCTAGAGGGGAAATGTCAAGATGTTGATCTGTCAACTCAAAGCTTGCTTCCATACTACCAAGAAGGACTTGAGAATAACTGGTGGGAGATGGCCCCTTCACCTGTACCCCAGCTCTTCAAGCCAGCTCCTGTTTGATCTCTGGGACCACCTAAGCCTAAGACAACTGCTATCCAGGAAGAGAAACTAAAGGACTTTATGCTTCCCCTCCAGGGCCTCTTGGCTCTAGAAGGAGAACTGACACCCATTTTAGTACAAATGGTGAAGAGTGCCAACATGAATGGGCTCCTGGACAGTGACAGTGACTCCTTGAGCAGCTGCCAGCACCGGGTGAAGGCTCGGCTGCACCACATTTTGCAGCAGGATGCACCCTTTGGCCCCGAGGACTATGATCAGGTCAGGTTCTTCTTATCTCTCTGCCCCCAGATACCCTGGATCCCAAATTCCTAAGGTTCTAAATAATAGCAGTCAATATAGCAGTACATATTACATGCCAGGGACTATTTTAGGGGATATATATATGATATATGCAGTATATACACACTATACATAATATATATTCACTATGTGTTATATATAAAAATATAACTATATATTATATATACACTATATATGACCTCAATCCTTGCAACAACTCTTTCAGATAAGTATACATCCATAATTCTCTTATCTGCACTTTTAAAAATTGAAAAGACATTTGTGTAAGTTTGTCATCAAGTTTAATTTGGCAGCCAAATCTGACACAAACTGTCATAAGACTAAACCACTATGCCTGGCTCACTTAAGCCTTTTTTTTTTTGCCAGTCCTGGGGCTTGAATCCATGGTCTGGACTCTGTCCTAGAGCTTCTTTTGCTCAAGGCTAGCACTCTTATCACTTGAGCCACAGACCACTTCCGTCTTTGGCTTTTTCTGTTTACTCGGTACTGAGGAATCGAACCCAGGGTGTCATGCATGCTATGCAAGCACTGTACTACTAAGCCACATTCCCAGCCTCTAAGCCATTTTTTTTTAAATACACAGTTTGGTGGCATTATATACATTCATATTGTTGTCTAACTATTTCTGATAGGTTCCTAAATGAACTAGTAGCTGAGCTCATTACCTGCATTTGCTATGTTTTCCCCCTGACCTTCTATTCTAGGTCTAGGCAGGGTAATATTATTTGTAATATTTATTCATCAAAATATTCTAGAGATTTTTTTTTGGTTTAATCTAGAGTATTTTCATGTCTAGCATCTCCAAGAGATGAACTTAGGTATGTTTTATTTTTTCTGCACCCCAAGGCTTTTAGATCAGACCCTCTTAGATGACTATGTGCTAGCACACAAATGTATAGAAGGTCCCAGAACTAGTATGTCCATTAGCCTAAGAATATTCATTGAAGTGAGCCAAAAAAATAGACCTATAATAAGCTCACAGGCATCTGGGCAATTGGATCAGTGTCTATTTTCTTCTCTCTCTTCCCCACAGCTGGCTCCCACTGGAAGCACTTCCCTGCTCAACTCCATGAGCATCATCCAGAATCCTGTGAAGGTCTGTGATCAGGTATTTTCCCTGATTGAAAACCTCACCCACCAGATCCGGGAACGGATGCAGGATCCCAAGTCTGTAGGTGGGTCTGAGCACTACTGTCTTCCCCGTAAGGTCTCAGGTATTGATGCATTTCTTTTTATTTATTTATTTTTTTGTCGGTCGTGGGGCTTGAACTCTGGGCCTGGGCACTGTCCCTCAGCTCTTCAGCTCAAGGCGAGTGCTCTACCACTTGAGCTACAGCGCCACTTCCGGTTTTCTGGTGGTTTATTGGAGATAGGAGTCTCACTGTCTCTCCTGCCCGGGCTGGCTTTGAACCGCGATCCTCAGATCTCAGCCTCCTGAGTAGCTAGGATTACAGGCGTGAGCCACCAGTGCCTGGCTTGATGCATTTCTTATGCACTCCTGGGTGCTTTCCTAAATGTCTGAAATAAGGCATCCCTGTCCCCCTGGTTCTTCTCCAGAGTTCCCAGGGTCTGTTGTTGGAGGTCAAATCTTTGCCTTTATCTGACTGCCCATTTTCCTCCCAGACTTACAACTTTACCACAGCGAGACACTAGAATTAATGCTACAACGTTGGAGCAAGCTGGAGCGTGACTTTCGACAGAAGAGTGGGCGCTATGATATCAGCAAGATCCCCGATATCTATGACTGTGTCAAGTATGATGTGCAGCACAATGCAAGTCTGGGACTTCAAGGCACAGCAGAGTTGCTCCGTCTGTCTAAAGCACTTGCTGATGTAGTCATTCCCCAGGTGTGTCTCACATGGGGCATCTACTTAGGGATAAGGGTATTGGGGAAAGAATCGAGAGGGAAGATGGAAAGGAGAGGTGTTTGGAGAACAGAGAAAGGAAATTTAGAGAGGCAATTAATTACGTTGCTAGAATTCTCAGAATCCACTCTGGCTTTGGATTAAGTACTTGAGGCAAATTGCCTAGACATGTGGAAAGGAGGAATGTAATCGGTAGGAAAGAAGCCCTAGACCTGAGGTGAAGATGGGCATGATTTTGGTGGGGCTGGGAATAGAAAGAAAAAGAAAAACAAGACTCATTGAGTTACTTATTCTTGGCCTACGGCCCCTTAGGAGTACGGGATCAGTCGGGAGGAGAAACTGGAAATTGCTGTGGGCTTCTGTCTTCCACTGTTGCGGAAGATACTACTTGACCTGCAGAGAACTCACGAGGATGAGTCTGTCAACAAGCTGCATCCCCTGTGAGGGAGGGCTGGGAGGGGTGCTGGATGGAGGGAGGGGCATGTTGGAAACTGGGAAATCAAGGCTGGGACAGCCTGGGGCACCAAGAAGGCGGGGGATCTTGGGATGAAGAGGAGAGTCTTTTTTTGTGGGAGGAGGGAGTTTGCAGAAGGGTGGGAAAAGGGTTATTTGACTCTGTCATTTCACTGTTACCTCAGGTACTCCAGAGGAGTGCTCTCCCCAGGCCGCCACGTTCGAACACGTCTCTATTTCACCAGTGAGAGTCACGTCCACTCCCTCCTCAGTGTCTTCCGTTATGGGGGACTTCTTGATGTAAGGATGCTCCTTCTTTCCTCTGAGCCCATGAACATCTTTTCTTAGCATTCTTTTACCCGCCTCCACCCCCAACTTCTGTGTTTCTGCAAGTTTTCTTTTTTTTCTCCTTAGCTCCCTGCCCATCCCCTGACTGTCTTTGGCCGTTTGGCTTACCTCTTTTTGTGTTTGGTAGGAAACCCAGGATGCACAATGGCAGCGAGCTTTGGCTTATCTTAGTGCCATCTCAGAGCTCAACTACATGACCCAGATTGTTATCATGCTTTATGAGGACAACACAAGGGTGAGGAGCAAAAAGGGCGGGATGAGGAGAGGTCCCCTTCTTTCTACCTCCATTAAAGAAAAAGAGAGAGGCCTGGCACTGGTGGCTTATACCTGTAATCCTAACTATTCAGGGGGGCTGAGATCTGAGGATCACAGTTCAAAGCCAGCCCAGGCAGGAAAGTCCGGGAGACTCATCTCCAATAAACCACCAGAAAACAGTGGCGCTGTGGCTCAAGTGGTAGAACGCTAGCCTTGAGCTGAAAAGCTGAAGGACAGCACCCAGGCTCAGAGTTCAAGCCCCACAACCGCCAAAAGAGAGACGCGGTGGGGGAGGGTTCTTGGTGGCTCACATTTGTAATCCTAGCTACTCAGGAGGCTGAGAACTGAAGATCGTGGTTTGAAGCCAGCCTGGGGCAGGGAAGTCTGTGAGACCTTATCTCCAATTAACTACAAAAAAAAAAAAAAAAGTTGAAGTGGAACTGTGACTCAAAGTAGTAGAATGCTAGCCTTGAACAAAAAAAGCTCAGGGACAGCACCCAGGCCCTGAGTTCAAGCCCTATGACCAAAGAAAGAGAGAGAGGAGAACTTTCTTACCCTTAAAGTTTGTAGAGTCTAGCTTGATGGAGCACTTCAACACAGCACAACATCCAGAAGGTTCTTTTTGGAATAGAAAAATATGTTTTGGAGTGATGTTGAGCCAGAGAGATAAGCTAGAACACAGCTCTGATGTGAGGGGGAGACAGAATTTGGGATGATGTTGGGAGTCTTTTCTCCCTCAAATATGTTTCCTATGCACTTGGCTCCACAAAGATGTCTTCACAGAGTGCTGCTGTATGTATTTGTACCAGAGCAAAGCTGAATTATAAGAGGTGGGTGGGACGGTTTATAGACCTCCAAAATTTGAAAGTCAAGTGGAGTGATGAATTATGCATAGTGAGAAACAAAGGAACGAGGATCCTATAACAGATCAGCCCCAGCTGGGGTAAGACCCTCTGGGAGGATGTATCCTCTGGAGTTCCTCTCTGTTGCCTCTGCCTGTTCTACCACTACATCCAGCTTCTCCCAACTGCCCCTCCATCTGGTGATACCCCTTAGGATCCCTTATCAGAGGAGCGGTTCCATGTGGAGCTGCATTTCAGCCCTGGAGTGAAAGGCGTTGAAGAAGAAGGCACTGCCCCAGCCGGCTGTGGATTCCGTCCAGCCTCTTCTGAGGTAGGTCCAAGGGCTGGGATTGGGGACTAAAGGCATCTACAAATCAAGTGAGAGGAAATTGATTGGAAAAAGGTTAGGGAGTTTGGTATTAGGAGGCTGGAAATCATTCACGCCTCTCCTTTCTGCCTATAACTGAACAGAATGAGGAGATAAAAACAGATCAAGGCAGCATGGAGAACCTGTGCCCAGGGAAGGCATCAGATGAGCCAGACCGAGCATTGCAGACTTCACCACAGCCTTCTGAGGGCCCGGGCCTCCCGAGGAGATCACCCCTCATTCGTAACCGGAAAGCTGGGTCCATGGAGGTAAGGAGAGGGGCTTGGGAAGACATAAATGGATGGGAGTACTCATAGCAATATCCATGTATTCCCTAACTCCCTTGGAGTCTCCTCTGCCCCTGACTGATACGTGTTACTTATTCTCTCTTTCACAACTGGCCTCTCAGTAGAACTTCTTAAAGCTAGTTGAATCTTCTGATACTAAAGACTTGGCAGTAAAGGTGTCTGAGAGAGAAAGGTTTTAAGGGATGAGCGAGGCAACCTCCAGATGGATTTGAAAAGGCAGCTCTTCAGAAGGATATATGGTAAAAGAGCATGAATTCTGTGTTAACTTATCAGTCTGGCTCCTAGGAGCTGTGTGACCTTGCCTAGGTAACTTCTTTAAGCCTCACATTTTTTTTTTCCTCCATAAAATATGAGTGGTGACCATTTTACAGACACTCATTAACTAACTATAGTAACAATATAATTGATTTTAAAGACTGGTCTTTCTCTTTTTGTGGCCTTGGGTAAAAATAGCTCAAATATAAGCAAATACCTGACATTTTAACCCTTTTAGGGCTATGGCTACTATTGTTCCAGAAAGGGATCAGTCTAGAGGTCTCTCTGTCCTTTTCTCCTAACGAAGAGGCTTACTGCTGGGGCCTGTGTTCTGCTATTCTTGGATTCATTTCTAGTTCTGGTTCTAACTTTCAGGAACTGTCATTGATCTCCCATTACATCAACCTAACTATTCTGAGGTTTTCGTCCTGGTCTCTTCCCTGTTTCCTTCTTTGGCCCAGAGATACCCTTTTTGCTGCTGTGTCTCGGAGACTCTGACTTTGTGAGTTGGATGCTGCTGTGAAGCCATGACTGTTCACCTGGCTCTGTGACAATTCTCTGTCTTATAGCTGGGTTTTTCCATTTTAGGGATATCTCAGAAGACTCTGTAATGAGCTTTTATAGATTTCAGCCAGAAATTTACAGATTGGATTTTAGAGGAAGCTAAGAAGACAAACTGGCAGTCTCCTTTCTGGACTCATCTTTTACTTTTCTGATAGTTTGAAGGTGATATGATAAATGTGCATAGTTTCTTTAGTTGGTATAGGCACTGTTTTCTGTAGAGGTGTTGATGTAACTGGGTAACCCTAGCGTTCTGCATACTCCACAGACTCAAGGGAAATAGATCAAGTGGCCTGAATAACACCTTATCTTCCATCAACAATCTGCCTCTCCCCATTCACACAGTCTTCTTACACCCTTGTGCTGATACCCTTTTTCCTTTGGTTTAAATGCAGGAGACATAGGCAAAAGAGAGCTTTCTGCATCTTCTCTCAGACTTGATGAGATTGACTTCTTTCAGGAAGCTTCCTATTGTAATCATATTCCTTCCTTTCAGTGACTCAAGTTGCTTAGACCCTGGCTCAACCAGGATGATGGCTGCCCAGGATATGTTCCTCAGCCTTGTAAGAAAATCTCTCTCTCTCTCTCCTTGGTCACACAGCCTTATAATATTAATTGTAATATTAATATTTCCTCTCCTGGCTCTTTAGGCATTGGACTATCTTATCCTTTCAATGACATCTTCTCCCTCCTCTTTTCATCTCATATTTTTGAACTGTTTTAGATTATGTACAAAGCTTGTGACCTTCATAGAAGCTGTGCCCTAGCTGGTCACCCTCTCCAGCTCTCTAATTAGCTCTGCCCGATGGGCACTGGGGCTTTGGGAGCCTGGGAGTTAAAGGGGCCTTGACCGGCTTTCCACCCGGTCTAATTGCAGGTTATGAACATGCAGTGCACGGGGAACCTGGACCTGATCCCCCTGAGGGGACGGCGCCGCCGGAGGTCAGGAGACCTCCCCCGGCCTTCCCCAGCCATCGGCCTACAGCCCCGGGCTGTGTCCACCACTCACCTGGCATCCTGCACACAGGTGTCCCTCCCTGCCTCACCTTCTTTTGGGGGATCCTGCCTCTGCCTCTGCCTTTTCAGATCTAGAGATCTAGAGCACTAGCTATATGGGCTGTGTGTGTGTGTGTGTGTGTGTGTGTGTGTGTGTGTGTGTGTTGGGGGTTGTGTGATTGCCCTCGTGGGCATTTGGCAAAATCAGGAGTGTCCAGGAGTTGTCACAGTTGGATGGCAGGGAGTTGGGGGTGTGGGGGGAAGGGGCGGGTGGAGTAAAAGCTTCTTGGTTTAACTAAAAGACACAGTATACTCAGTAATCACAGATGCCCCATGGAAAGAAGAGAGAGTAGCAAGATTTATTTGTGACTGAGCCCTTTAGATTGTTTTTTTCCGTGTCTTAGGGTAGGACAGATAAGCATAGGGAATCTGAGAATTAGGAATAATCAAGTAATGACTGCTCAGATTGGAGTAGGAGGGCTGTTTCTCAGAAACAGAAGTAGCATCTAGCAAGGAAGGATTCCCTGAACAGTTCCCTCTGCAAATACACTCCGTTTCCTTTTCGTTCTCTTCCCCCATACAAAGCCTGTGGTTCTTCCAAACTTTCTGACATTGCTTGGCTTTATAGGGGCAAGAATGCAGGACCTTGGTTTTATACTTCTGGGATGAGGTGGCTAAATGATAATATGGAGTCCTTTTTCTGCAGGTGCTTTCTGAGACTTCATCCTCAAGACCTGGTGGCTACCGGCTCTTTTCTTCTTCACGGCCACCAACAGAGATAAAACAGAGTGGCCTAGGTACGGTTTTCCAGCATCTCACACCTGTTGTTGGAAAGGGTTGTCTGTCTGTTTATTTTCTACTGTAGGAAACCTTTGTCATGGGAATTGGGACAATCTAGTCAGTGGAGTTGTCTGGTGGGGCAGGGAGGATAAAGTGGGAGAAGCAATAGTTAGATGTGAACATGGATCTCAGATGGTTGTCTATGTCCCAGGAAGGTGTTATCTTTTGTTTTCTCCACCAAGCCCCATATCCCTGAATGAGGGGGATTTTTCTGGCTTTCCCTCTCATTCCTTATCTGTCCCTCTAGCCAAGACCTTAAGGGCCCATGAAGACTCTGAACCCTCAGAGTTAACAGTGACAGAGCTATAAATAGAGGTACTTGTGACCCCATAATTGTCATATTCCTCGTATGGAGAATTTGTCTTCCTATAAAACCTTTGTTTTTCACGTCCTGCTCTGGCCCCTCCTACCTCCATGACCTCTCCTCCATCCTGTCCTAATCCTGTAACTTTTTTCCTTTCCTTCCGAAAGATTGAGGGACAAATCTGAGACTGGTGTAGTGGCAGAGGCCTCTCTCAGGACTTTGAGGGAGTGACTCTTTGATTTTTTGATCCCTGCAAAGGGATGGGAGAGCATCATTCAACCTTTTCTAAGAACACAGACTGCAGGAAGGACCAAGCCTCAGAGGGTATTGTATTCTTTGGGAGGGGGAGGTGGTCCTTGGGAGGGGTTATCTCTAAACATAATGGCTAAGTGAGCCAGTAATTAGAACTGGAGGTCAGAGATGACTGTGTGCGGTCTGAACTTGTTCCCTGGCTCTCTTAGTTTAAAAAACAAACAAACAAACACAAAACTTGTCCTGTGATTCTCTCTATTAAGCTTTTATCACTTAGATCAGTAAGGAGATTAAATGCCTTGGTAACTTTGCAGACTAATTTTCTGAATGTAGGTTTCCTTCTAGACCCCTGAACTAAGTTACATGGTTTGAGGCCTGAGAAACAAATGGCAAATATATAGATCTGTGATACGGACTTTTCTCCTCAGAAGTCCCAGTAAAAAACAGTTTTCAGAGAGGCAGGAGACGTGGCAAGGTATATCTGGTCCCGTGAAGTAGGAGTTATGTTAAGGATAAGGTAGAAGAAGCTGGGGACCATGGTACATACCTGTAATCCCAGCTACTTGAGGACCGGAGGCAGAAAGATTCCTTGAACCTAGGAGTTCAGGGATCATCTGGGCAACATAGTGAGAACCCCACCTGAAAAACAAACAAAAAGAATGAGGCAAAAGATGCAGGGACACAGAACTGGTTAACAGATGGTGGTGGTAAGGTAGAGGCAAGCCTCAGAGATGATCTGAGGACTGGGAAGCGCTGTGTTGGCATGATTGCACCAGAAAATTGTTTAGTAGAGGCAGCAAATATAGGACAGCGCTTGGGGTGGTCTGGGATGCAGCCAGCTAGTTTTGGCTTCTCTGAGGGAAAGCAGACATATTTAGCAATGCTTATTACTCTCTGGATCCCATTCTAGAGCCTTTGAGCATGAAAGGTGGGATAAGTGACTGTCTAGAAAAGTCTTGAAATCATTTGTCACCTGAGTTTTCTGTTTTCCCTGTTGACTGTAAAATCCGAGGACCCTTAAAATCATGATCTTTTCTCTGTGGGATCCAGAAAAACTGGCTTCCTCTACACTCCGTCCAGCTCTCTCTGTAGAGTTTTGGCTAAGGTGTAATTTGGAAGTGGAGGACAAATCTCTTCATGACCTCTTTGTCTCTGTGAACTATAGTGGTGGCACACATGGAGGGAACTTGATGCTAGGTCAGATACTGGGGTTCAGTGACTGGCTTTAATTCATTCTTTTTAGTCTTGAAGTTCTATTCACTCCCCTGACTGATCCCCAATAGAATCTCTTTGGTGTCTTTGAACTTATGTGTGTGGGCATCTGGTTTTGATCATAGGGCTTACAAAACAATAAAGTTTTTTTTTAACAATAAAGTTTTGAGAACAGAAAATATATATGTCATTCTGTTACTGGTTCCTGCTTTCTTCTTAGAAGAGTGACTAGCACAATAGGCATACTCTGCATATACTCGGCTAACTTTTCACATGCCTTCCAATTTGTGTCCATCTTGACTTCAGAAATGCCGTTTCCTCTATGGAAAAAAAAAATTTTTTTTAATTTTATTTTTTTGTCGGTCATGGGGCCTGAACTCTGGGCCTGGACGCTGTCCCTCAGCTCTTCATCTCAAAGCTAATGCTCAACTACTCGAGCCACAGCGCCACTTCCCGCTTTTTCTGCTTATGTGGTGCTGAGGAATTGAACCCAGGGCCTCATGCATGCAAGGCAAGCACTCTACCACTGAGCCACCTTCCCAACCCCTATTATTTCTTTTTATTTATTTATTCATTTATTTATTTTTCGGTCAGTCGTGGGGCTTGAACTCTGGGCTTGGGTGCTATCCCTCAGCTCTTCAGCTCAAGGCGAGTGCTCTGCCACTTGAGCCACAAAACTGCTTCTGGTTTTCTAGTGGTTTATTGGAGATAAGAGTCTCATGGAGTTTCCTACCCAGGCTGGCTTTGAGCCGCAATCCTCAGATCTCAGCTGCCTGAGTAGCTAGGATTACAGGCGTGAGCCACCAACGCCCAGCTTTTCTTTTTTAATTGAACAAATATAGTTGATCCTCAGAGTAGAGACCTAGATTCAAGATTTCCTTCAGTCTTTATAAAACTGTGTGACGTTGAACAAAGGAAACATTTTTGGATGTGTATTTCTTTCCCTAAAGAGAAAACGTTAAGTGTTGTCTGAGTCCTTGCAACAAGTCTCATACTCTCATTCTTGAGGATGGTAAAAAAAAAAAAAAAAAAGGGCTGAAGAAAGGTGATGATGGATGGAAAACTTAGAAACAGTTGGAAGGGTGCCAATCATGTGCTCAAAACCCAGCCCCAAGTTTCGATCAAAGCTTTTCCTTTCAGATCTATAAGGGAATAGGTTTCTGGGTTTCTCAAATCCTATATTCATAATAAAGGGCACTGAATTAAATCTAAGTCAATCTAGAGGGATTTATTTGTTCCTTTAGCAATTCTGAGAGCCACCTAGAAACCACAGTCTTATCTCTTTCAGTAGCTTTGAATTCCCTAATACGACTAACACTGTTTCTGCAGCAGCCTCTTGTTTCTACCACATAGATCTTCAGGAGAATCCTGACTTTGCTTGCCCTGTGTGGCTCTGGGCGGTAGTGAATGCTGTCTGTCATTATGTGGAAGAGCCATGTGGTTGTGGTGCTGAATGGCTGTGTGTGTGTGTGTGTGTGTGTGTGTGTCTTGATGTTTTCCTGTGAAGTTGTGTGTACTTCTGTGTGCAGCTTTGCGTGGCTACTAATACACTCCCGGCCTTGCAGGCTCACAGTGCACAGGGCTATTCAGCACCACAGTGCTGGGCGGCTCCTCCAGCGCCCCGAATCTTCAGGACTACGCCCGCAGCCATGGCAAAAAGCTACCACCTGCCAGTCTGAAGCATCGAGATGGTATGTGGGTGGGTTTGGGGGGGGCAACTCTTTTATTTTTTTTTTTCATTTGCCTCCCAGCAAGGACACAGCTCCAGATATATTCATGCTCAAGATGGCACTGGCAATGGCCTTATAACCAGTTTTCTCATCAATACATGGGAGAAGGAATCAAGATCCCTTCCACCCTTCCATTTGCATTTGCTGTCACCATACAAATACTACTTATTTATGCTTATCCCTTCATAATCTCCCACATACAGCCTTGCTGCATCAACTCGTAATCTTTCCTGGATTCTGGTCTGTAGGGGTGAGGAGGACCAAAAGGATGGCCCATGGTCAGGATGAATGCAGAGGAGCATTGATTAACATTCAGGAAATCAGGGATGGGGGGAAGTTGCTAGGTGAAGGTAGAAAGAGATTCGGGAAAGGAAGGGAAGTTTCTTCACAGATTTTATTTCCGAATGACTAGAGAGACATGATGGCAAAATTGTGATTGTTGTGGGCCAGTAGTGGTAGGGACGATGGAGATTACTAAGAGTTTCCATCCAAAGGAAAAGATTGGAAGGTGGTAGTCAGGAATCTTAAGGGGTGAGAATGGGTCCAGGTCCGGTAATGGACTAAAGAACAGAATATACTGACGGTGGGCAAATTCCAAAGCAGAGGGTGGGCACAGGGGTGGGTATAATCCCCATGATGTCTTTTCTCCCCAGAGCTCTTGTTTGTCCCGGCCGTAAAACGATTTTCTGTGTCGTTTGCAAAGCATCCGACTAACGGTACGTTTGCTTCTGACTCAAAACCATCCTTCCTCACCATGTCACCTCCAGACACTTAACCTCTGCGTTCCGACACTGACTTTGCCTCTCCTCCCACTGTGTTGACACCCTGCTTTCTCACTCAACTAAGGGTCCCTCCTGGGACATTTCCCTTGAGACAACTTTAGCCTTGGCTGCAGCCTGGCTGACCTGTCCCTGTGGCAACTCAGGGTCTGACTTCCATAATCATCATCGTCATCGCCATTATGTCACTTTTGTCTACGTCACCACCAAAACATTGATATTTTTTTTTCACTCTCCCTTTCCTATCACATGACTGCCAGGCTGTGTACAGAGGTGATAATGATCCCTTTCTTAGAAAGAGAATAGTATTGCCTAGATTGGGCTCATTTCTTCTCTTCCCCCTTCCTCAGCGTATATAATGTTACCTTCCTATTTTTCTCTAACTCTTTCGATGGGGGTGGATGATAATTTGTTCATCTTCTGGAGAAATGCTGTAATTCCCGGCCTCCAAACTTACTTGTAAGGGAACGGGTCTTGAATATCTAGTCTCCCATGTCCATATGCCTATCTCCTGCCATTTTTATGTACTTTGTGTGGCTCTTGTGCTCCTGACATCTGCTTTATGTCACTACTAACCTAGTACCTGGGCCTAGAAAATAAGAGCCCAGCTTCTTTTGGGATAAAGAGGAAAAGGAGTAGAAGATCATAGGGAAAGAAGAAAGAACCATACTTGTTTTTCTTCCTGTTGTATTTGGGATTAATTTGGTGCTGGGGATTGAGCCCAGAATCTCATGTATAATATTTATGTGTTGTACCAGTGAGCTATACCATCAGCCCCTGTACCTTGAGTGTTTAAATGAAGTTTTTGAGTGAGGTTCTTGCTTATCAATGACAAAACTGTCTCAGAGAAGCTGAAAGTGAAGATTTGAGCTGTCTGCTGGGGATTCTGGAAAGACCTAGGAATGAGTACATTGCAAGGACATTGAAGAGCTACAGAAGCCCTCACTAAGGTAGAGAGTTTGGAGATTTGTGTTTTAAAAAAAAAAAATACTGGCCAGACACTGGTGGCTCAGACCTGAAATCCTAGCTACTTAGGAAGCTGAGATCCGTAGGTCAAAGCCAGCCTGGGCAGGAAAGTCTGTGAGACTCTTATGTCCAATTAACCACCAGAAAATGGGAAAGAAACACTGTGGCTTAAAGTGGCAGCGTGGGACAGTGCCCAGGCCCTGAGTTCAAGTACTATGACCGAAAAAGAAAAAACACAAAAACTGAAGAGTCCCAGAGGCCAGTGCTCATGTCTGTAATTCTAGCTTCTCAGAAGGCTGAGCTCTTAGGATCACAATTCAAAGGCAGCTCAGGCAGGAAAGTCTGTGCCTGTGAGACTCTTTTATCTCTAGTTAACCACCAAAAAGCCAGAAGCTGTGGCTTAAATGGTAGGACACTAGCCTTGAGCAAAAAAGCTCAGGGTCAGCCGCAGGTCCTGAGTTCAAGCCCCAGGACTAGCATGCATGTGCTCACACACAGACAGGGAGGGAGGGAGAGAGAGAGAAGAGGAAGAGAGAAGGGGGGGAGGAGAGAACCAAACTTGAAGAGTTCTGATCTCTGTAAGTTTGGCAGAAGAACCCTAGGCTCACTCCCTGTTGAACTTCTTTTCTTTTGTATCACACTTTGGGTTTTATTCTTCCTTGTCTCTTATCCTCAAGATAAATCCAGTTTTGCTATATATAGATTTCTTTTGTCCAAGAGTTAAGACTCTGAGGAAGGTAGAATTAACTTGATTTTCTCGCTGGAAAAAAAAAAAAAAACCTCCCCCTGCTGATCTCCTGTTGTCTAGCCAGTGGGAGGTTCTAGCTTTTAGCCCTGTCAGGCCCTATCTCTCTGTTAGGCCCTGCTGAAATCTCTCCCTAAGTTGATTAGTCTATGTTTGTTTAGTTTCCCTCTACCCCCTGGCTTTCATTTGTGCTGATGGCAGAGTCCCCATTCAGAGCCATGTGGCTATGCCTGCTCGTTTAGCTTCAAGCTTTTCTGGCCATCATGTACTACAGCAATCACCCCCAGAATAAAGCCTGATGTATCAACCCCAAGCTGGGAACTTAAGTTCTATAATTTAGACCTGAAGGCCTTGAAATTCTAGATAAATCACACATCTCCTAGTTTCTTGGACACCATAAAAAAAAAAAGCCCTAGGTTTATAAAGCAGATCCTCAAACCTATATATCGCCAGTTCCTCAAAACTCTGGCTGGCAGAACTCACCAGGTGAAGAAAATAACTGATATTCCTATAAGGAGGTGAGAAGAAAGACCTGGACAAGTCAGATATAGTGCAGAAAAAGAAATCCGAGAGCTCTCTGAACACCTTGCGTATGTTTCTCGTGTGTGAGCTGGGAGACTAAATGTGCTTGTGAAGTCAGGATCTGGTATCTGTGGTAAGGAAAAATTTGGAGCTCTGTGTCTCTTGCTGAAGAAGATTGATTTGATTTAATTTGATCTTTAAGACTAAATTAAGCTCTCCCCCCCGGCTATAGTCTTGCTCAGCTAGACTCAGTGATTACAGAATAGTTGCTGTCTATAACAGCTTGTGGCAGATTATCAGCAGCAGTGTGCCCACCTACAGTCCCATCTCCCTGCATGGTATCTGGCTTTGAAACAGCTGAGAAACCTGAATCTGGCTTGGGAAAGGCAGCAAGGTCATGCTGTCTCCATTCTTGGATGGAAAAATGGTCCTCAGTTCATCCCTTCCTGTTCTTGATAATTTTTTTTTTTTTGTCATATCCTATGTCTGTAGCCAAGAGACAATGGGGATGGCCCATCACTAAGCTGTACGCTGAGCTCACCAAAATAAATACCAGGGCAAGGGAGGGAGGGAAGAGACTGTGGATCCTCCTCATCCAGAATGTCAGCGTGTGCCCAATGGATTGGTCAAGCCCATTATCTTCTAGGGGCCCACACAACCGTGTGGTCCATTGGAATAGTCAGCGTTCACTAAACTAACCTAGGTAGAGCTGAATTCTCTTTCGACATCCACACTAACGTATCTCTGAAGACCATTTGTTCGTGGGACCACTTGTAGCTGGAGAATTCTGAGCAGTCATTCTGAGCCGCCCTGACCCTGCCTTCTCTACACCAGTCTCCTCTACTCCTGTTCTTACCCATCCTCATATGTGGTCTTAAGACACACATACCAATACCTTTCCACGAGCTCTTTCTCAGCTATTCCTCTTACTAACTCCTAGTGCCACTATCATATGCTTTTCACTGCCTTCAACCATTTGTAGCCGAATCTCATGCACCCACAAAGGTTACCAAGAGCTAAAAACAGACAGGAGTCGGAATCACAGCTCTTTCACTCACCAGCTAAAGGAAAGTTCCCAGTTGTACTCATCAGCCGTGGAAACAAAATGTAAAATTATCTCATTTTTAGCCTCTGTGATAGATATACCCAGTGTCATTCCAGGTCCTGGAATATATTTTTTTTTTGAACAAGAGTTAAGAGGATGATTAGCTAAAGCTGATACTTTTTAGTGTCATTTTTCACATGCACTGTTTCAAGGGCATTCTACATCTGGTTTCCTGCCTGGCGCTAGTCCCTGTCTATGGTCATCGTAGGAGTTGCTCCTTAGGGTCCTTCCTGAGCCTTCAAGAGCCTTTTTAGGATTAGCTTTATCTTGATACCCAATACCATTCTTATGCCTCTTCTCTGAGTGACTTTGAACTGTTCATCTGTAGCCCAACCTCATAAATCCGGTCTCCTGAAAATTGGGCTACAGTTAAGTTTGTCCAAGAATGACCAGGAACCCCAGAGCCCGAGAAATCCCAGCCATAGAAGGGCGAGCTCATTCCTACTCAGAATGGTGTGACTGCTCTCTGCAAGTACTGACCCAGTTGTGCTCAATGAAGAAGGAGAGGGACTTGTATGACGAGGCCTCGTTGGTCCTTTCTTGGAGCCTTACTGTGCGGCGCTCTTCTTCCTTGCGAGGGATGCCAGCGGCTCTGACCATCTTTGCTTCCTTCTTAGCTCACCTTGGATCTGAACGGCCCCCATCCCCCCAATGCCCCATCATGCTCGAAGTCAGTGCCCTCCTCATTCTGTCTCCCTGTTCTCTTTCTTTATCTTTGTGCTTCCTACCGTGATCTCCCCACCCCTCCAGAGCTGCTGGATGACCAGCACCCTGTGGTCCGGTTGCTGCGCAGTTTTTCCTCTGACTGCCCAAGGGGCCGGCCAGTCTCCTTGGATGCCACGCTGGCGCATCACCTGCACCAGTGCTCCTACCACCTACGCCTCTTCCGGAACTGGCTGCGCTCAGGCCAGGATGACCCCGAGTGCCTCTACGGTACCCCCTGCCACAGGCTGGCTGCTGCCACTACCCTGGCTTGGGACTGGTTGCTTTGCTTATTGCACTTCTGGCAGGACAGCCTATCTAGTCCTTTCTCCTATCTGCCCTAAGGTTATGTGACTTGCATTTGGTTGCTTGAATGGGATTGGGGCCAGGCTGCCTGGTAGCTGTAGCATTGGCTGCTCAACCCTTTCCTATTCTCCTTTCTCACTGTCCCCTAATGTCACCCATCCCCCGATTCTGTTCAGAATAGGAGAGATCTCTTGTCCTGGAATCTGTTCTTACCTCTCTAATAATCCTCCGCGGCCACTATCTTCAAGTCCATATGTTTTTCTAACCACTGTGAGGGGCTGAAGAGTCCTCTGCCCTCCTGCCACTAGATTGTAGAAGGAAGCTGAGGCACTGCAGCTCAATTATATTTTTGAGGCAAACAAAAGCTAGCATTTAGAAGATGATCAGGTATGCTGGGCTTTAGTTCAGGATGATGGGCTTTAGTCATTGTTGAATAAGAACTTTAGGTCTTACGTAGATATTGCTGTCCTGCCTAATCATAGTGCCTTTAGAGAGATGTAGGGGAGGCATTGGAAAGATTGAATTCTAAGAATGTGATTGGGATGGTGTTTCTTGGCCCGCCAATTGGGGTATTTTTTTTTCCAACAATAGTCTGTGGGACTAAGTTCCCTATTTAGGTTTGCCTCTTACCCTACCCAGCCAGGTAGATCTATATTGGAATTGTTGGGTTTGGAGGAAGAGAATCAGGATTTCTTCTTTTTCCTGTGAGTTTTGCCTCATTTTCCTGATGGAATAGAAAGATCCTTACAAGTCTGTAGCCTTCTAGTACAGCAGAAGGGAAAAGCTTCTTTATGTGATGGAAACGACCAAGAAAGAACTTCCATTCCCCACCCTGTTCATGCATGCAGCTTTCCTCAGCTGAGCGTCATGTGTACATGCATGCCCTTTCAGTTTGCATCAAAATATTCTAGCCTTTCTATCCACATCTTAAATTGCATGAACCCCTCTCCTCAGATCCCGTGCCCTTTTCCCTAATCTGTTGTTTTGATGTTTTCTCTTTTTTCTTTCTTTCTTTTTTTTTTTTTTCATGATACCTGAAATCTGCTGTTTCTTCCCAGCTCCATGGCCTCCCTGCCTCATATTAGAGCTATAACTTCACCCCTGACCTCTGGATCCTTGTTTTTATTTCCCTAGAAAGTTGAGAGCAATGTTAGTGTTGACCCTACTGGGATTCTGTTTATTTTTTTCCATGGAACATTTACAGGCTTTCTGTAGATAGGATGACAGATGATTTGATTTGCCTGGAGGCTTGAACAGGTAGACTTTTTAGGAAAGCTGGAGATGAGATAAATAGATTTCCTAAGGGGCTCTAAAGAGTTCCCTGCCCTGGAAATCTCAGATACCCCATACTCTACAACGCCACAGACTCTCTCATGGCTCCCAGGGACTCTCCATGCTTCCAAAGGCCAGTTGGGGGGTAGGTCTGGCAGAAATAACATTGACTTTGCTCATCTTTTTTCCAACAGGATTCGAAGGGTGCTCCATGGTGCCCACAATCTACCCCCTGGAAACACTGCATAATGCCCTCTCCTTACGTCAAGTGAGTGAATTTCTGAGTAATGTCTGCCAACGCCACACTGACGCCCATGTGCAGGCCTCAGCAGGTATGAATAATAATAATATAATCTCATTCTGTACCCCAGCCTCTAACTCCATACCCATGGTTCTTAGTACAGAAGAAATAAATTTAAAAGATAGTTTAGCTGAGTGCTGATGACCCACACCTCAAATCCTAGCCACTCCAGAGGCTGAGAGATGAAGGATCATGATTTGTGGCCAGCCTGGGTAGAACAGTTGTTGAGACTTCATCTCCAAATTGTTTAGCAGAAAGCTGGGTCGGAAGCCTGGCTCAAGTGGTAAAGTACCTGCCCAGCAAGTGGGAGGCCCTGAGTTAAAACATCAGTACCACCAAACAATCACCACAACAAAAACAAACAAAAAACAGGGATACCTATATATCCACAAAGATCCAAAAGTAGACTTGATCACCAGGTGCTAGTGGCTCACTCATATCTTTAATCCTTGCTACTCAGGAGGCTGAGATCTAAGGATCCAGTTGAAAGCCAGCTTGGGAGCTGGGCACCAGTGCCTCACACCTGTAATCCTAGCTACTCAAGAGGCTGAGATCTGAGGATCAGAGTTCAAAACCAGCTCAGGCAACTAACCACCAGAAAATCAGAAGTGGTGCTGTGGCTCTCGTGGTAAGAGTACTAACCTTGAGCTGAAGAGCTCAGGGAGAGTGCCCAGGCTTAGAGCTCAAGCCCCATGACCAATCCAAAAAAAAAATAGAGGAGGAGGCACTGGGAAGGTGGCTCAGTGGTAGAGTGCTTGTCTTGCATGCATGAGGCCCTGGGTTCGATTCCTCAGCATCACATAAGCAGAAAAAAAAAGCTGGAAGTGGCGCTGTGGCTCAAGTGGTAGAGCGCTAGCCTTGAGCTGAAGAGCTGAGGGACAGCGCCCAGGCCCAGAGTTCAGGCCCCACG